CCTAAGCCAAAGAATCTAAAACCTGTGTCCTGATGCCAGTTAGCTCACCTAGAGTCTGGCATTAACTGGTTTATCTTCCTAGGAGCACATCTGCAATAGGGTATTTTGCTTCAAGCTGTTATTAGGAAATGGACAAGAGCATCAGCCATGAAAGTCCAGGAGTCTGCTACCAAAATACAGATTGCAATGAAGGGAAAGACAAACAAGAAAACACAAACAAATGGCATGAACCTCCCAAAAGCCTCAAGGAGATAATGAGAGAAGAATAACTAGGATCTCTTCGAAACTACTCGTCAAGGGAGATCTCACCTTAGGAACTGATAATGCTCCACAAACTTATTTTCAATTAGCTGCCTAGATCTAAGAATGTCTTTTCTGAAAGAAATATTAAAAATGCTAACTGGGTTCCCAGGCTAGGCCAAACAAACAAAAATCCACTTTAAACAATATCACAGATGAAAAACTATACACTATAATAATCAATAATAAAACTGGTATGGCTATACGGTACAATACTGAAAGCTGTGTTCCTCTGCGGCTTGTCGATCTCTAGGATAGACCTGTAATGGTTTTACCCCAGCTTATTCCTTCTCTCCCATAAGCCCCCAGTTTCAGCAACACTGGATGACTCACTAGCCCTTAAGCACATTCTTTGCTGTCCATGTTTTTATAATCAGGCTTTGATGCCCTTTTCCCTAGTCTATCTACCCAAATATTTCCAGAGAATAAACGTATCAACTCAACATTCAAGGGCATGGATAAGGAACCTGTGAGGACAGAGCTAAATATCATAAAAATAGAGCTTGTACGTTTCCCTTATAAGCCAAGACTGAGGTGCAGGTGGAAGAAATGGAGATGGAAACGGAAGAGAAGGACTTTTTCTGACCTTCCTTGGGTTCTAGCAAGGCCTAAGTCAGAGAGATGACATTGCCTTCCCAGGAGACTAAGGAAAATGCAATAGCAGCAAATCCCTACACTATGTCAGCTAGATGGGGACAGGGATGAAGTATCCTAATTTTCTCTCCAGAGCCCAGACCTGTGCCTGAACATGGCAACTGCATGTAGAAAGAATGAGTGATCATGTAAGTCTTCCTGGCTTCCAAATTTTGTCATCATTCTACAGGAGATCCCTCTCCTACTGTACCACTCATCTCCTTTTTCTCTCAGATCCTCCAAAGTGAATTCCCAAACCTAATTAGGCGACCTTTTATGCTATAATTTGAACTCAAGTTTTGCACCAAAATGTTGGGCATGATGTCTGTGAACAGAATACTGCCAACCACCCCTCTTTCACACACACGTATCTTGTGAACAATGGCTATTTAAAACCTTGCAGTGAAAAAGAAATATGGTGACTCACCTGGTCTTATTGTAGGTGTGCTGAGTATTATCCAAGATGTTTAGATACAAAATGTTACATAAAGCTATTAATAAACACTTTCTGAAAGAATGAATGCAACAGATAATATATATAATCTGGGTATGTATGTTGTTGTTATGTGCCATCGAGTCGGACTCCACTCAGCAACCCCTCCCTGGGTTTCTGAGGCAGTACCACTACGGAAGTAGATTGCCCAACCTTCCTTCCGCGGAGTGGCTGGTGGGTTTGAACTGCCAGCCTTCTGGTTAGCAGTCAAGTGCCTTAGGCACTAAGCTACCAGAGCTCCTCTGGGTATGTATAGTTTGAGAATATTTAGATTCATTAATTTAAAAAATGTATATATAACTTTTCTGGATTAGATATATACTTGGAGTCTAGTAACCTAGTTCTAATCATTTCACAAAGTGAAAGAACAGAGGGAAAAACAAAATACAATGATATCAGAGCACCTCTTTCCACTGTCAGTGGCTTGTATAAAGTCACACATCTGGAACTGATAATGCTCCACAATCTGTGCTTTCTTAAGTAATTAAAAACCACGATTAATTTACTTGTTCAAAATGTTATAAAATACTACTGTTGGAAAACGAAACAAACTTTTTATTGTTTTTCTCAAAGTAAAGCTCCTTGAAAGTTTCAATTCTAAAGTACAAAACATTCATGATAAAGTAACATTTTCAGTATTAATACACTAGACCACAGTCTGTATTTACAATATATGTATCTTTCAAAAGCCCCATTTTCCGTGCACTACTTGGGGTATATTTCATTAGATAGCACAATCTGATGTAATAGCACAAAATCATATTTATCCAGACTGTGCACCTTAGAGCAGAATCTCATGGCCCATCAAACATACACTGTAAATGTATTTTTGTTATGACAGTGGAAAGCAGAAAGAGGAAGACAAAAAGACACTTCAGTAGAGAGAAATATTTCATGAACTAATAACAGAGAAGGAAGTACGAAACTACAGCCTTGGGAAAGAAAGGACTCAAGGGCATGGAGCCTCACTCATTCTTGCTCTCCCTGAATAACTTGCATCCTTTCTTTCACCACACTCACCATTATTTCTCAAGATCATCTTTCTTTCCACCCATTTTTATTTCTCCATCTTTCCAAACACCTGACTCACCAACTTTTCTTCAACCTCATCTAATAAGCTACTTTTCTTCTTTGAAACCCCCTCATCCAGCTTTTCATGAAATTTACAGTGGGTGGGGAACCTCTCAGAATTGGAGCAGTGTGGATGCATCAAAGAAAATTAACAGAGAAAGCAAGAAACAAGAGAGAAAATGGGACACCTAGGCTACGGGTCTTTTCTGCCTGGACCTGAAAAATATTCCTCCTTACAGAGAACAGACTATATCCCACTAAGCCTCTATGTTAGTTAAGAAACACCATCTGCCTACACTAGGTAGCTTATTACAGACAGCAAGGAAGCAGTCTCGGGTTTCGTAAGTGGATAGCCAGAGGATGGGCAAATAAATACCTTCCTTCCGACCTGCTAGTGAGAGGTCACTTGTTCCAGTGCCTACTCTCTTCTCCTTGGGCCTGGCCAACAATGTTTTATTATTTTATATGCCTTTCATAGGCTAGTAGCAGGTTTTCACAAGAGACAACTGTACAAAATTCCCTCTTTCATTCATGATATTGTAAAACAAGTATCATTGGAAAGGAATTAACCATCGCATAAAATCATACTCCACAACTGCCCTCAATTTTTCTTTCTGAGACTCAAGAGATCAGAAAGCTCAGAGATGGAAGGAAATGACAGACAGGACTGAGAACTCCTGGGTGTGGCTCTGATGATATGGAGATTGGAGCACCTTGATAATGCCTGAACTCCAAAGCATGCAAAGTGAATTACTTGCCAACGAGCTTGTGTGATGTTTAGTTCTCCACAATTGTGTAATGGAAAACCCTTATGCAATGTGCCAGAGATGAAGGGAAGGGTGCATCTTTCCCAGTTTTTGCAGATACAGTGCAATGTCAGTGTGACAGTACAAAGGTATGCCAGACTAAACCCACCAAACTCACTGCCGTCGAGTCAGGTCCAACTCATAGCCACCCCTCCTTGGGTTTCTCAGGCAGTATCACTAAGGAAGTAGATTGCCCAACCTTCCTTCCAAGGAGTGGCTAGTGGGTTTGAACCACCAGCCTTCTGATTAGCAGTCAAATGCCTTAGGCACTACGCCACCAGAGCTCCCACAAAGATAAGCAGAAGACTTAAAAAGAAAGCTTCCATTAGAAACTGCCTTTGAACCATTTTCAATAGCTACTGAAATACCTTATTTCCCAGAGTCAAACTTGAGATGATCTGAAAAAAGAACACTTTTCTGAGGAAGTCAAAGCTGCATCAATGTCAAAGACTGATTTTGTCTCACACAAAATTAATCCCAGCAAACATTTTCTCCACAACATATAGTCCATGTATCCTACTACATTCACACTATAGTCACTGTCTCATTTCCTATAACAACAAACACAAAGACTATGGGAATATAGCTTCATTTGTAGGGAGGAAAAAGCAGAGTGGTGATGTGGAACTTAAACTTCCTTTACTGCTGGAATGTGGTGTAATATTGCAGAAGGACTAGATAGTTTAAACTATAAAATCATTTCTAAAATCCTTTTATGCTAGTTTCAGATTTCGGGAACTTTTAAATGCTTTAAAACCAAAAGCAACAAAGCAAATAACGAAAATAAATGGGAAAACATAAAAACAGCATAATGCCTTGATTACTTCCGGCAGGAAAGCCACATAAATCAACTGACACCCCTGCCAAATAAACTGAAAGAGCTATAAAAGGAAAACTATGCTGATTGGGGAAAATCATATATATATATGTAGGCTTCTGGACAACCTCTAGGTGCTGCTGTAGAAAATCCCTCCCTAAAGACGAATTTCTTACCAGGTATTTTAGCCTCCCCCTCCCCCTGACTTCACTGCAGTGCGCAAAGCCATTAGAGACAAACATTTCAAATATATGTGCTGTTGAAATGCCTGGGAAATATTCAAGGAGCCAAACAATGGCTATTTCACTTTTCATTTCAAATTACACTATAGATGGATCATCTTGGTAAAAGAAAATATTAGAGTCGCGTCTCAGCAATCAGGAGACTAAAGAAGCAAAAAGACAGCTATCCCTGGAGTTCTCTCAAGCATCTTTCCATAAAGAATATTCCTACATGTTAAAAACGATCCTGTGCATAAAGTACAATTGTAAGATTAAATCAGGAGATGTGGGAGTGCAGGATGGGGCGGTTCCTGCAATGAGCTTTTAGCTGCACCCGAGATGTGTCAGCTCCTGCATCCGAGGAGATGATGAGAGAGATTGGGAAAGCTCAGAGGAAAACCGTGTGTGTGCCCAGGGTAGAGAGGTGCTCAACGTTAGAATCAGATTCACCAGTGCCCGACCGCGGCCCCCGCGCCCTGGCGCCTCCTCCGATCCGTAGCATCCCAACAGCCGCAGAGTCAAGGCCCGGCGCAGTGGGCGGGGGCCCTGCAATGCGTGGCCAAGGCTCTGGGAGGCCGGGGATTAGTGTCTTCCCGCTGGGGAAGCCGAGTGAAACAGCGGCCCTCGAGGCCAGGAGATGGGGCAGCCAGAGCCCCTACCTGCGATGGTCCAGGTCCAGCGGTAGAACTCCACGGTGTCGTTGAGCGCCGTGGACATCACGTTCAGGACACTGCCAGGCTCCGAGTCCAGGAGCCCCATCGCGATGGTAGCGGGTGTTGCCGGCGGCGAGAGGAGAGAGAGGAGACCGGGCAGGAGGGCTGGGCAGGAGGGTTGACCTCGGAGGCGTCGGGTAGGGGGCGAGAAGAAGCGGGGGAACCCTCAGCTGCCGCGCCTCAGCTGCGTTTTCTCCTCCTCCTCGTCGGGGCGCTGCGGCGGCGTCGACGAACCGGGCCAGGCAGAAGGAATCGTCAAGGCTCCCAAGAGGAGGAGGAGGAGGAAGAGGAGGAGGTCCCACCGTGAGCACCAGCGCTGCACCGCTCTGCCGCCTCCCGCCGCCGCGGCTCCAATCTCCTCCGCCGGCATCACGTGGCCGTACGCGGGGGCGGAGGGGCCGGCGCGTCCCTTCTCCCCGCCCGCGCGCCAGGACGCTGTTGCGCAGGGATGCTGCGGCCGAGGGACCGCGGGAGCCGGGGCAGCGCAGGCGCCGGCCGCCCCGCGGCCCTTAGCACTCACCCTCTCCTCCGCCTCCCCGAGCCCGACACCTGGGTCCTCCTGGCTGCCTCTCCAGGTCAACATCTCTATCCTCCTCCCCCGCCTTCCTGCCAAGCATCAGGCCCCTGCGGTGGAGTACGTGGTGTTACAACCTGTAACCTCGCAACTGCCGGATATAGTCCAAGGAAACCAAACAGCGTGTATTCTTAGCTGTCACCCACTTCGATTTCCCTTGTGTTCTTAATACCTTACCCCCAACACGACATGCTTGCTTCATGTTAAGGCCAGTTATCCCTCCAAATAAGTGAGGGGATGTTGGTCTTCCATGCTACAGTGATGGAGAAAGGATTTTGGAGTACCCATGAACAAATTAACGAATGAATGTTTGCTGCTTGTGTTCTGTAGAGATCCTTTTAATATACATGAAATCAAAGCAATATAATTTTGTTAAATTAGGCCACTAAAGGTTCAGCGTTTAGATGAATCTAAAAGGATAATTGCTAGGGAGAACGAGCAATGTAGACAATAGAGGAAAAAACAAAGTACTTTTGGATTTCAAAAATTATTTGGATAAGGTGGAAAACACCAAAGAGACCCCACCCCTGAAAAGTTGCAAAACTATACACAATTCTTAATTTGGTAATTCCTGACATGAAACAAGATCTTTCCAAAAGTCTAATCATTTTTCACCTAGTTGTTATTTAAACATGTTACCTATTTCTTGTTTAGTCTTGTCACATGATTGTTTACTTTTTTTCTCCACATGTTTATGTAGGATGCTCCATTTAAAGGCCACTTAGTAAAGTGTATGATTGCTTCTGACCTTTCACACAATGTGGATACTGCCTTTCGTTATGTTTATTTATTTTCCAATTGATTGGGTTATATTCTTTGACTATATTTTACATTGGAAGCATCCTCTTAAAAAAAAAACAAAACTCACTGTTATTGAGTCAATTCTGACTCATAGTGACCCCCATTGGGTTTTTGAGACTGTAAATCTTTAAGGAAGTAGATTGCCCCATTTTCCTCCTGGGGAGCAGTTGATATGTTTGAACTGCTGACCTTCTGGTTAGCAGCCAAATGTCTTGCCCACCATGCCATGAGAACTCCTTGGAAGCATTCTAGAGGATAAGAATTGTTTCTGATTCCTTGATGATGACCTACCCCAGTGCTATAAATAGTAATTAATTTTTTTAAGTGCCGTGGAGTAGTTTCCGACTCATAGTGACCCCCTGCACAGCAGAACGAAACACTGCCCGATCCCACGCCAGCCCCACAATCCCTGCTATACTTGAGCCCATCATTGCAGCCACCGTGTCAATCCATCTAGTTGTTACACTTTTTTCAGAGCATCTATAATAAGCACTATTGACCCAAGCACTATTGTAAGTGCTATAGGAAGAGAAGAAAGTAATTAAAAGTAACTGATTTATTGTATAACTCAAACAACCATGGTCTTTAAAGCTCTATTCTAAAATATAACCAATAAAATTCAAGTTATGAATTTATCAAATACTTTGGTCATATTAAAGTGTCCTGAATTGAGATTATGATTTTTCAAGTTTCAACCCCATTTAATGTCTGTCAGATAGATTATAGTAGTTACATAAAATAAATAAATAAATAAATATTCAGTCAGGTTTCTCCATTTGGGGAGTGGATAAAGATCAAGGATGAACCCATTTATCTTGATCTGTTAAAGTTCTGATTAGTTTGAACTTCACCTAGAAAATTGGTTATTTCCATATTCCCAGATACTGGATGTTGTTTAGAGAGAATAGATCAACATCCCTACCTCTGTACTCATGCACAAGACCTCAGCATCTTTGGATGTTTAATACAGTATGAAAACTGTTAAAACTGCTTCAGATATTTCCCCAGCCTGTCTGTCCTACAGTTGTGGCCAGCTTAAGTACCTTTATTCACTAGGGGGCGCCTGTCACATATAGGAAAATCCTGGATGAGCTGACAAATTTAGGAGGAGTACTATGTTTATAGGAGCTCTGGTAGCATAGTGCCTAAGGCACTTGACTGCTAACCAGAAGGCTGGCGGTTCAAACCCACCAGCCACTTCTCGGAAGGAAGGTTGGGCAATCACACTTACATAGTACTTACTTAGATAGTACTTACGTAGATACTATGTAGTACGTAGTACTTACATAGATGCTGCCTCGGAAACCCAAGGAGCACTAGACTATGAGTCGGGGCCCGACTCAACGGCAAACAACAACAACAACTATGTTTATGCTATGAGTCGGGGCGACGCGAGGGCAAACAACAACAACAACTATGTTTATGTGCACTTATTAGCTGTCCGAATACACACTAAGACACACAGCCTTAGAACTTACCCACTCTGGAGGCTTACTACCTGGCATAGAGGCACAGTCCAATACTCAAAATTCACAAGTAATGAAATCACAAGTAACTTGGGAATTCACTGAGTTGGCAGTGAAAGGAAGTAATAAAAAAGAGTTTGTAGAAAAAGAGAGTTCTGGCAAGATGGTGGAAAGGGCAAAGAAGCTACACAGACCCTCTGGAACAAAGCAATGAGAAACCAATTGGAAGTGATACAGAAGACAATCCTAGAACCTTAAACTTTGAAAGGATGGATAAAGAAATGGATTAAATGCCAACTAGTAGAAGAAGCTGAATGAAACAGTGAGTAAGGATACAAACGGAGCTGTGGACTGCCAGCCATCCTGAGGGCACAACCATTTTGATATCTCCTGATAGCAACCTAAGAATTGGCCCTGCTCACTAAGGCTGCGTGGGCAAGGACTGTATTTGTACCTGATGACCAGAAAGGAGAATAGCAAGGAAGGGGACAGGCAGACCTATGGACTGCCAGCAGCTGTCCTGAGGGTACAGCCATATTGGATGTTTGCAAGCGACCAGTGTAGCAGTTTTGATTGCGTGCAGGTAGCATTCTTACTTGGACTGCAACCTGGGAGTGGGTTCTGCCTGCTGAGGATAACACAGGCAATCACACTGGAGACTGACAACTGGAGAGGATTCCCCTTATTACTCTTGTGTCCTGTACCCTTCTGGTTAACAGGGGTGTGGCCATGCCCCCACCCCACCTCCACCTACCTTCTGGACCTACAAGGGTTCCATCCTAGTCTGTGCCCTGGAAGAGCCTGTGTGCTGTGCCTTGCCCCCATCCCCCCAGTTTTGTCTTGTCACATGATAGTTTAGTTTTTTTCTCCATATGTTTATTCTTTTTATCTTCCTCCTTTCTTCCCTTTTTCCCCCCTCTTTCCCATCCATGGTTCTTGTTTTTTTTTTTTTTCTTCCTCTTCCCTTTTCCTGGTTCCCTTATTTTTTCTTTCTTTTGGTTCTTCACATCCCTTGTTTTTCCTTTTGCAGTTTTCCCTAATCTTTTGCTCTTTTCTCTCATACCTCCCTCCCCAGATATATTGGCTTTTTTTATTTCTTTTTCACATTATCTTTCTTTTATCCTTTCTTAATATATTTTGAAAATTTCTCTTCTTATTTATTGGGTTTCTTTTTTACTTTTTATTTTTGCAATTATTCCTGTTTGTTTATGTGGTTTCAGTTTTTTGTTCTCTTGTTTTTGTTTTTGTGCTTTTTTTAAAATTATTTTTGTGGTCTGAGTGGGAGACACCAACTGTTCCTGCACAAGCCGAACATACCTGCATCTCCTGCAGCCTCCCCACCCCCGAGTGAGGGCCACCACTTGCTTTTGCCCCAACTGACCAGCAATAGATGGCGGCCAGTACCAGGTCAACTCACCCTCAACTGCTCTTTACAGCTAACAGAGATCTGTCACAGACTCTTATTCTGTGTCACACCCATCAGGAGACAGGTGGTGAGTACCTAAGTGCTAACAAGTAGTGAATAGAGGAGCACAGTATGCTGCTCACTCAAATATATCAGAACAAAATGAAGGGGGGAAAATCTTGCACGAATCACTCCAACATACAACCACAAATTAAACATAAATACACCACCACCACAATGTCTCAGAGACAACAGACCATCATAGTCCACACAAATAAACAAGATAAAGAAGTACAAACAAGGAACCAGGCAGGATACACACCCAGAAAATATCTCTGAGAAAGAAGCAGCACTGGAACTCTCTGATGAGGAATTCAAAAAATTATATTTGGGTACCTTCAACAGATTGAGAGATCAAGGAAAACACACAATTAAGAAAAACACTGACAAAACTCTAGAACAATTAAGAAAAAAAAATACAAGAACAAATTGAAAAAATAAACAAAAAATTAGAAACAATACAAAAGCAACAAATAGAAATCCAGAAAATTAATACTAAGATTTCAGAAATAGATAACACATTGAGTGGACAAAGGAGTAGAATTGAGTCAATGGAAGACAAAATTAATGAGATTGAGGACAAATGCCTCAATACTACTTTGTTAAGGGATCAGTCAAACAAAAGATCAAAACATAATGAAGAAAGCCAAAGATTCATATGGCATACCATCACGAGGAATAACCTATGTGTAATCATAATTCCAGAACAGGAAGAGACAGATAAAACCACAAAGAAAATT